TTGACCTGATTTGGACAGGATTTTTGACGGGTATGAATGTCGGATACAGCCTCAAAATATAAGAAATCCTAAGAATTTGGAATTTGATGCTTCTTAAATTTGTGCTCCTAGAAAAGAAGTTAGCTTCAGCAGGCTAGACTTTCGAAGTATAAATAAGATTTCTCATCGTCCGATTTCTTGATTTTTCATACATGTTGAAAAATGTTTCATACATGTATGTTGTGACTTATCTTACTTTTATGACGGTAACATCAAAACAAACTCACCAAATTCATCGTGGCAAGGAGTGCAAGATAGCATCTGTCGTTGGCAATAGCCTTAAACACCATACAGGTGACACTAAGACTGTTCCGTCTCCCAGTTTTGAAGGAAAACATCCCGGGGGGCGGGACGGGTCAGAAGGTGTCGAGAGGACTTTCGGCTCGCCGCATATTTAAAGTGCCCTCATGCCGCACAGGCACTTTCTTTCCAACGACAGCGAGGCAGCCGATCCACTGGGGCAGTTAGCATATCGGCCAGATAGCCCCACTGACGGAATTAACTTGGTCAACGTAACACATTTTGGTACACATTGTGTTCAAGACGAGTGCTGGGGGCGGTGTAAACAAATGCTGGGCGAGAGGATAGTGCAGTGATGGAAGACGGGTGCAAGCAATGCTAAAAATACTAAAGTAAAATGCTAAAAAGCAAAATAATGCATGAATAAAATAAGGCAAAACAGTGAAAATAATACATAAGGCAAAATACATAATTCAAGACTCATAATTCAGGGTTTACAGTTCAAGGAGATGAGTATAAACAGGAAAAAAAAAAGCTAACTTAAGATAAAATAAGTTCTCTTCAAGTACAGAATATACGGGGGCAGTGCTGGTGACGAAGATGGCAGCTGCTAATTACTTCAGCCTGTCTGAGATTTTGCGTGCAATATTTACGCAGTCGCTTATGCGTTTCAATGCATAGCCATTTTTCGAAATAGCTTCAGCCCATGCAAGGATGTAGTCCGCTACTGGCTGCCCAAGATGAATTTGGCAAACGAATACATAGTTTTGTTCTTTGAAAACGAGCACATAGTGTCCGGATCTCCTGCCATCCCGCAGGAGCAATGGTCGTTTTTGCACCATCTGAAGCGATGCAGGTAAGTCCTGAAGGGACCATGCCCTGTTAGAAACTGAGTGAAATGAGGCGAGCCATTTTTAGAAGCAGCAGACTTTGGGAAAAAATCTAAGCTCTTCTGCCGCTGGATTTCCATATCCCACAGATGTTGCCAACGCTTCAGTAATTCAGAACTAACCTAGAGGAGACACGTCGAGAGTGCGAACGTGGGGATCAGTTGCTGCTCTTTTGGATATTGCATCTACAGTATTATTACAGAGTATTCCGGTGTGCGCAAGTACCCCTGGAGTTCAAGCCTATAGTATTTTGGTGTTCTTATTAAGAGTTTTGTATGGCCCTGACGAGTGGATTTTTACGGCATGTGCCGTGGATTGCCTGCTGAGTCTGAATAAATACTGGAATAGTTATTTTCCAATGCGTAGGCAAGTGCAGCTTTTAATGCAATTAATTCAGCCTGAAAAACTTAGTTGTGGTGCCCACGCTTTCTTTCCCAGGTCCTTAAGATATGGTCCCCATGGAGAACACAATATCCGCTACCGGTATTGCACAGGCACTGTACATTTACAAAAGTTACAAACATCCACGCCTTCGATATAGCAGTCAGTGTAGCTAACCAGTATCGCGGTTGGGTTGCGCACATGTATAAAAGTCATCTGTGCCACCATATAACACTGGTTATTTAATTTCTTCTTTCAGGAACTGATAAATAAATTATATGGGTTGCGTTAGATGAGATTTTATTACGAAGCTATAAAATTACAAATTTAGCTTTAAACACTTCCCTTTCGGAAGCTACAAATTACCTCCTTTAATAATAATTTGAAATGCAGATTTCGTTTCAATCAGCTAATTTTTAATCTTTAGGGAATATGAAATGTTCTCCTGAATCCAAGCATCTCATTTCTTAAAGACTTATTTTATCGGAAGGTCTAAATTAGAAATTGTTTCGCATTCACGTTACACATGGGAAAAAAATCCGAAAACGTTCGATGTCCCAGCCATTCGCCCGGATTTGAGCCCGGGTCGGACTACCAGTATTAAGTGATTTTACCGCTTTCTACTGAAAGGATTATGATGTTTGTTTTGCTACATTCATCATCTTTATAAAAAATATTGAGCCCATTCTGTCTTAAAGAAAATTATTTACTTTTGGTTTTATTCTCAGCAGTGGAACGAGATAGCTGCATAAGCTTACCATGGTTCACCCCTTCTAAAACTAAACTCGGCCGCACAAACGGCCCATATAACCATGGCGGGTAGCCCGATATCTGGCTCCGTGGGCTCCGGGGTGCTTGTGGATCTTAGCCTGGACAAGTGATCAGCTTTACATCCACCAGTGGCCGAGAGTAAAGTCGTTGAACACTAGTAGTTCAATCCGGGGTTCAAATCCTGGTGAACGGGCTGGCTGAATAAACGTTTTCGTGGTTTTCCCCATGACTAACGTGTATACGAGTCGGCTTTCCGTTAGAAAGTCCTGCACAAAGGCATTCCTGCTATAAGTAGCTAGCCCTCGAGTGTTTTGTCATAATTAAATAAACCAAAACATACCTCAGAAAAATCTTAATGAAAGTAACTTTAATTGGTACTTATGTATTATTCTTTCAAATGAGAAAGTTGGCGGATGTCTGCCAAAGTTGGGCCAATCGTTTCTAAGAAATTCTAAAATAAACTGATGACTGTTTATTTAATAAACAATGAGTATTCGGACCCCCCTCCATAAAAGGCTTTTCGAGAACTTCTACCTTTCTGTTAAGCCCCGATTTTACCGAAAGCTCTGTTTAGAGCGATACGAGTACTAATTTCCTGTTTATTACTGTTTGCTTCAAACTAATTGTTTAAATCTATTACTGTTTTGCCTCTCATAGGCAATTTTCAAAATGCAAGGGGGAAAATACAGCAATAACAGTTAATTTATATCTTTGTTCATTAGAAAGCTTATCCAGAACCAGTCTGGTTACATCAAACCGAAAGCGCAGATACTATGAACGTGTTTACGTCACGCTTTTCCCTCACTGGCTTTCAAGTCGCCCTGCTTGGCGACAGTTTCATAATGGATGGTATAATAGGTAAGTACCGTTTCATTTTAAGATGACAGCTGTAGCAGGTAGTCTTTTGGTAACAACCAACAGATGCGCGAAAATTATTTATTTATGAATAGCTGACAGAATATTTTAGAAGGATTTTTAGAAAATAAAATTTTATTTATTTGTCTATGATACCCGATCATACCAAATAAGAAAATGAGTTTTTTACTTTATCGATTAAAAGTTGATTCTGCTGTTAGCTTCGTCAAAGATGATTTAATAAACTTAATTCTTAATAAGGCAACCTGTAGTATCTTCCTCATGTTTTCAGAGTTACTTTGTATGTTTTTACTACCGAGCAGAAATGCTTAATAAATTTGCAATACTTATGTTTGTAATTTTGCGAGTTTTTTTTTTCCATGCTTTATCTGTCGTGAATCGAGAGAGAAAGCAGATAAAACTCACATAAAGCGTTTTATAATTCTATCCTGGCGATTAAACACAAATTAGTTCCGTTTTAATTATAGCATTTTTCGTAAGAGTCGCGTTCATCTACAAGTAAAAATACATTGATGAGCCAAACATTATGACCATCCCCACATTTTTCAATGAAATCGTCTGAATGACGTGGAGGACAGGTAATTAAGTAGGAATGTACGTATTCAGCTGCTGATGGAGGAGATAAGGAATCATGCTTGCGCATTTGCCAGTGATGGGCTCTAAGGGAATTTGAAAGACAGCATATTGTAGAGACACGAAGACTTGGAACGAGTATCCCTTAATTGCACGACTGGATAGATTGTTCACTATCAGCCGTGATAGTGGATAAATGACTGTGAAACCAGAAGTACACGCCAAGGTGTTGGGAGCCCACGCATCATCAAAGAAAAAAGACTTTTGAGACTTTTTGCTTGGTACAGCAAAATTGGCGCCACAAACTGGCGCCCAATACAATGCAGATCCAAGTGCAAGTGTTTCAGAATTCATAGTTCAGACACTGTTGAATATGGGACGGCGCATTAGACGTTCCACATGCGTGCCTCTGTTGACTAAACGTAATTGTCAACAACACCTACAGTGGGCCCGGTAACATCGAGACTGGACAATGGATAAGTGGAAGACAGTTGCCTGTCCGATGAATCACGATTTCTCAATCATCATGTCCATGGTTTGTCAGGGTCTGCCCTATTCCAGGCGAAGAGTTGCTCCCTCCCTATACAGCACGTCATTTACAGGCTGGTGGTGGCGGTGTTATGCTTCGGGGGGCGTTCTCACGGTCGGCTCTGGGAGTTGGTGGAACAGACTACGAAAGCTGCGAACTGCCTGAACATAAGTGTTGAACAGTTGCACCATTTCATGGCGTCTGTCTTCTCAGCTGGAAAGGAAATTTTCCAACTCTCTTTTGGAGTGGTTTGAAGAACATATGTATGAATTTCAGTTAATGTCCTGTCCAGCTATCTGGCTGGATCTTAACTCGATAGAGCACATTTCTGATGTCATGGAGCGCCAGCTCAGAGCTGAAACTCAGCCATGTCTGAATATCTCGAATTTGCCTGACCATTGCTTAGACGTTTGTTACAACTTGTCTTCAGTCATATACCAAACATTTGACATCCATTCCGAGACGATCCGCAGCTGTTTTGCAAGCCAAAGATCGCGCAAAGCGTTATTGAACGTATGGTCGTCATGTTTTGGATGTTCAGTGTAATTTTACCTCAGTACGTACGATAAAAATTTGGACTACGAAATACCCAAAACCAATTGGCAGTATTGCTGTCTTTACATTTTACACTGCTCATTATCACAAGAACAAATTTATATGTAAAACAATTCATGTAGTTTTGTTTTTCTTTTTATCGGCAGGTTCGACAATACGCCATATCAACTGGCTCAAACAGCTCGGCGGAACATGATCGAACACACGGATCTGGTTCCAGTGTCGTGCGTGTATTTGTTTCAGCTATTCCCATTTGCCATTGCTTTCGATAGGACGATGACGATTCTTCAAGTTGGCGAAAAGTCTCGGGAACTCTTCGGCGGTGAGGAGATGGTTGGCTTACCAGTTGAGACCTTCTTTCTCATGCATCGTCCTAGAGTTGCCTTCACGTGGGAAAATGTGAGATACTGCCTTCTGTTTTTCTCATTAAATAATTCTATTTTACGAGCTATGCAATTTTAATTATATAGAGATCTCAATAATTAAGTTTGGAAATTATTATCTTGGCATCTATAAATGCAGCTCTTGTTCTTTTGACAAAAGATTAACATAAAAATTAGACAGAATTCAACCTTAAATTCGCTTGTGCTTGTAAACTTGTACACCAGAGATAATATGCACTACGTCTGTCTTCACTGAGAATGTTCATTTAAGTTTGTTCAGAAAATGTTTTCAGCCAGAGAAAATGATTTTCTTCTGAGCAGTCAAATTTCATCTTGAATTGAAAGAAAACTAACAACGATTTAAGGTTGGATTTTGCCTCAATCTAAAATTGTCGAGTTGTTTTTAACATTAAATGAATGTATAACGGGTAAAATTTCACTCGTTAAAAATATATCATCAAATATAATGAATTTTTGTAAGTAAATAAAAAATTACAAAAGTATTTTTGTAATAAAGCAATTATTGCTTAATGTAACGCACTTCTTTTTTTTTTTTTTTTTTTTTTTTTTTTTTTTTTTTTTGTGAAATGTGACGCTATTATCCATTGATAGGTAACATTCTGAAAGAAATTTCAGATAAAATGAAAACCACAAGCGTGCTAAGGCCAGGCTAAACTCTATAAACTGTAGCATGGTTTTAAATATTTTCATCTTCCTTTATACTTCAACACTGGTAGTTCGATCCGAGGTTCGAAGCCCGCGAACGGGCTGGCTGCATGGGCGTTTTTGTGGTTTTCCCCATTTGCAACGTGTATACGAGACAGTTTTCCTTAGAAAGTCCCCGACGAAGGCATCCCTCCCCTTAAACAGATAGACCTCATGTGCTTTGTCATAATTAAATACACCAAAATCATCCTTTGTACTTCAAGTCATTAATATGTTACTCTTTTTCCCCTTAAACAGTATTACTTTCCCTAATTAAGCATTTTTTAAATACGAAAAATAAGCAATTTTCAAAAAATTTTGTACATGATAATACTTTTAGTGAGAAAAAATAAAATCTGGCATTTACAAGAACTGTTAGATTTTACTCTAATCAAACCAAAAAATTTACAGATGTTCGGTTCACTTCATTAAATTTTTTAAAAAAAGAAAAATTACTGCTCCACTAATATCATTTCTACACTTATGTTCAAAACATTTGCTAAAAATAAGGCATTTCTCCCAGAAATATAAAAAAGGCCCCTTCGGGCATCACCAGTATCTAAGTAATTAAGGAATACTGCGAGTCCGTTGAATATTGCGAGTTCGACAGGGTTGATTCCACTTAATTTAACCTAATCTAGGCCCTCTTCGAAGTAGCAATTATTGGAATATGCACATGTCTTCCATGACTGCAGACATTCCTAGAAGTAGTGGTAGAATGTCTCTTTTGGCATCTCTCATAAACTAGCCGTCATGTTTTTCAATATTTTTAACGATGCAGCATTTAAAAGATACTTTCTGAAAACGCTCACCTCGTAGAATCAGCTTTTTTAAGACCGAACGAACGAAGTAAGAGGGTGAGAAATCTGACATGTACGTAGGTGGATCCAAAAAAAAAAAAAAAAAAAAAAAAAAAAAAAAGTCAGCATCTGAAAAGTAATTATTGTGAAGGGAATTTATCCCCAGAGCGTAGGCAGATCGCACTAGTTGTCTAGCAGCGGTTGTGCACTTATGTAGAGTAAGTTTGCAGGCGCGTCAAAGCGATTGAAGTGGCAAGACCTTTAGAAAGGTGAGAGTCTTGATTCGTTCTCTTGATCGAGTATCTGTGCCGTGGCCATACCACTACTGCCGATCGTTACTGTGCCACTTAGACTAGGTTACGTGAAGCCATTCGGCGCAAGCACCCTGGCATGATGAATGATGGTGGCATCCACCTGCAAGACAATATCTCGCCCCATACTGCCCGCCAAACTCAAGAATTGCTGCAAAATTTGAAATGGGAAGTCTGAATTCACAACCCATATAGTCCAGATTTAGCATCCAGTGACTATTTTCGTTTCCTGAAATTGAAAGAACATTTATCTGGAATGAGGTTCTCTTGAGACTGCGATGTGAAAACAGCCACCTAGAACTGGTTAGTGGGCAGGGACGAGAATTCTTACAAAGCCGGGTTAAAGAAGTTCGTCCTGCATCCAGATAAATACCTAAATAGAGTGCCTCTTGATTTTCTTTTATATTTTCCGTCTGTTGCTAATAAATAATTTTTTTATTACCTTTGACACTTTTTTGATCCACCCTCCTAAATTGCTTGTGTGGTGACGGAGATGTATTTTTGCTCAAAGAGATCCTTCCTCACAGAAAAACGGTATCGTGTAGAACGGTCCAAACATGCTTTAACTGGTCTACGTTAAAGCAAGAACTGCGCACTACCGTATTGTGTCCCTTCACGAAATTCTTCTGTAGACAGTATACTAACGTATTATTGTTCATGACATGACAACGTATTATTGTTCATGACATGACAACGTATTATTGTTCATGACATGACAAGGTTCAGACATGAATTTCCTCAAACGTTTGCAACAGTTCCAGTTTCCGGTCACGTTTCCAGTTTCAGCGGTCATACAGCAATTATTCGTAACAATATGAATTTATACAGATAGTTAAGCTTACATCAATAAAAATGTAATGCTTATCATTTGATTCTAAGATTCTAAATTGAAGTGGGGGGGACAAATCTGTAAGCTTTCAGATCTTGTATTACGCCCAAAAAGGCGTTTTCGTAACGTTTTGTGCGTTACATTTAGTTATTAAGCATAACGTTCTTCGCGCTTAAACCATAAAATTCAATTCAACAGCAATATCACAATATAATTTTAAAATGAGTCTATCCTTAGAATTTCCGATACACAGCCTCGCGCGCTGGAGATAAAAATGTATTTCTTTTCGTACAATGTTGCCATTCCTCACATTGAAATCGTTGAGTTTGTTAATCAAAAATTCTTTAATACCTGACAAAACATTAAGCAGATAATGAAACAAATTCCAAATTAGGGTTTCCAGATGCCCATATTCGGTGGAGGATTACGTTATTCAAAATTTGAAGGCTCTAGGCACCGTTGTTTTATCATAATGCGAGAAATATGCAAATTTTTATTATTCATTTCCTTAAATATAATACAGGGCTGTAATATTTGGTGGCAACAGTCTGAAAATAGTGAACCAAAGCAAAATACCAAAATTAAGTAAACTTTAGGTTAAAAAGTTACCATTTTATAAAGAATATGTATGCAAAGGAAACAAAATTAATCATTTTCCTTCAAATTAACTTCTAAAAGTTTGATAATCATCCTTTGTGCAACGCTACGTTAAATTCTTATGCACAAAAATTTATTTGGCAAACAATCAATCAATCACTAAATCCTATCCCAACTAAACACGTGAACAGTTCATTTTGATTTTTGCGTTTCATCACAGTACTACATATTCTTATATCTTACAATAGATTCGCGCAAATGCTTGAAATATCTGCTTGGGATTCTGAAGGCGTTTTTGAACTCTAGCGAACCGATCTTTAATATTTGGAAAGCAGTATGACGTGGCCAGAGGCCATTGCAGCTGTGCATTTCGAATGTAGATGAGAGTCCCAAGAGAACGGTTGAACGCTAATGATACAATATACAACAGTATGCGATGGACCGCTTTGCTTTCGGCCATTAGGAGTGCTGTTGGTAATGAAAGCATGTTATTGCGAAACATTCCTCATTTTGTATCATCATCTTGCGTTACGTAACTGTATAAATGTTTAATCACGTATTTTTTGAGAGAAGTAATTCTCGAAGTCATTTCGTTCCGAGAGCATTAAACTGCATTTATCATTGGTTAAAAAATACCGAACCTTGTAGGCATACATCTATAGCATGCTCCCTGAAGCATCTCATTTGGTCTCACCTTTAGAAGTGTTTGATATGTCAGTTAGAAAAACATATATTGTAATTGCATTTATTGATGAATTTTATAATCAATAAATGCAAATTGTAACAGAATTTTAATAATTTTATTAAGTATTTCTTGTCGCATTCTATTTCAAAAACATCTGTGCGCGTGTGTTTTTCTTTTGTTAATTATTGCGTGCTTCGCCTCTAGCCACTATACGGAAAGGGAGGAATGCCCCCTGGAGATCGTTTTTAAAGGAAACAGGCTCAGCAACTGTCTAACTGAGCACACCCTCCAGGCGTCCAATGAGGGCCACACCATGAGTTTATTGACAGTAACACTATACATACATTGTCATACAGGTACATTATACATACACTATGCAGTGGTCAGTGGCTTTTACCGCACGGCCCATACATTGTCATACAGGGTCTGCGACATAACATAATTTACATAAATTTAGATACTTGAAACGAGTACGTGCAGTGTTCAGTGGCTTTTACCACACGGCCCATACATGGCCGTTCACTTTACTTCTGTATATGATTTTTAAGAAAAGGAATTGGGGTCAGTGCGAAGATATTTAACGTAATGCATGTTTAAACAAAGAATTCATGTACATGTTCTCATAGACGTAAACAAAAGCTCTCAATTTCAACGAAAGTGGCAAAGCAGTTTTTAGTTAATATCTAATTCCGTGATATATTCTCTTACAGATCTACATCCTCCAAAAGGTAGTCGTCGAACTGGAATGCCTAAACTCTCGATTTACAAAGCATCCGATAGCAGACAGGAGAAACAGTGCATCTACAAGGAATCTACTACTGAAAGGACAAATGAGACTTATCGAAGAATGGGATGCCATCATCTACCTCTGCGTACCCCTGTAAGGACATCCGTAGTCTCCATGGTTAATTTATTGTGTATTCTTAATTGATATTTTATATCCAACGATTATGTTACCTAGCGACCGTCACTAAAGTGAATCCGATTACGATAAATTACGAAAAATAGCTTAAATTTATCAATAAATAGACATTCTTGTGATTGGTAAATACCGTATATCGATATCTGTACATGTCGTTTTGAATCCGCCACCGTTTACTCGTGTTAAAAATTTGTCATAAATTTAAAATACGATTTAAATTTATATTTTTAAATCTTAAATAAATGAAACCTGTGTTGCATTCGTAAGGGTTCGTAATAGATTGCATGCACAAATCGTATAATAATTTAATGAAATTTATTCTTATCAACATAAATCTATCAGAACGCTGGAATTTTCCTCACTTATTCCTACAAGTGTTCATAATATAACGCAGTATAATCAGTAGTTATACTTGAAACTATTAAAAACGTTCAAGCACAACACAGTGAAAGCGCATCTAATGAAAAAGCTAACTCGGTTATCTCAGTTCACGCGGAACTAAACTCGTAACGACAGGGACTAAGCAACGGAACTCGGACGCTCTGTCTGGCCTTTTATAGTTTTCAACCGATCGCGGAAAATGTGTAGTACTTATCGCTTCTCCAGATTTCTGGAAGGCAATAAGAGGTTGGAATTACGGTTAATGCTTACATAAATAGTCAATTACATTTATTCAGTTTCAATACAAATTACCAAGATATACATTTACTCAATGTTAAATGCATGTGCCTCTGTATTTTTACATTTCCGGCATAGCTTTCATTTAAAATTTGTCTCGCGCTGCATTGTACGGGGAAATGCAACAATTTTAACTGTAATTCTACTAAAATTAACTATCTAAATCCAAAATTCGTAACACCTGATATAAACTTAATTTTCATGTTAGAACATCAGGGTTACAACTTGATGCTGAAACACCGCGTTTGTGGAAACGTTAATGTCTGTCTGTGATGTTATATTAAAATTCATATTTTAATCAAGCCAGTAAAAAATCATATCTAATGAAAGCCGTGGAATAAATTGAAGGCATACGTAAGAAAAGTAAATTGTCTTAAATAACGAGGTTAAATAACATATGATAATGATTCCGAAAAGTTTCTAGGCTCAATTCCATCACCATCGTTTTCAAGTAAGAAACTCGCTCCCATTCGCAAATTAAAAATGTTGCGTATTATTAGGAATCAACTCCAAAAAATAAAGTTTTCAGAACAGAATTGGGTTATTAAGCAGGGAAAAAATGAGGAGGAAGTACATCAAAATAGCATACGTTTTCCTAATTTCTATCGGTACATTGTAGATCTTTTTGGGAGGAGGGTTTGTTTATATAATAACTAGATTTTCAATTAGGAACCTACGGTTTGGTCAAATTTTGCTTTTCGTGAACTAACGTTTCAAGAGTTTATAAATAAAAAAAAATTAATTTTAAGTGTAGGTGAAAAATTTAAAGTTTTTCAAGGTGAAGCTTCATGTATGTATGCATATGTTAATAATATGCGAGTGTATCGCAAATTATATTGAATTATATTTTATGCACATGCTGTACCATTTTATATTTTATGTTATCATAGTACGATTTATTTTCCCTTATCTTTTGTAACGCCTGATAAGTTTTGAATACGACGCTTATGTTTATATTAAAAACCTAAATATCGCAACAGAGCCATGACCTGAAATGCCCTGATATTTGCTTTCTTGAACGTGGGTCCTGGAGTGCATGAGCATATACCCTGGACAAGTGGCCAGCTTATCGCAGGATCCCCGGTGTTTAATCCCCAAGCGAACTTTGTACTCATTTTATCGACCCACTGAAGGGATGAAAGGCTGAATTAACCTCTCCCAATAGGGGGATCGAGCCCCAGACTGCGGCGCTAGCCACTGTGCCGCCGGGCTTCCTTATGTTTATATTATTTACTCTTATATTTTCAATAAATGTTTCGATAGAAAAAATATCCTTTTAAGTTTTCGGTAACCGTAAAAGGCAACTCTACCGAATTACCGGTAATAGAAAAAAAGTCTGAAATATTACAAACCCTAATGCAGACCTCGTTATAAAATCTCTTGTCATTTAAAATAATTAAATGACAATGGTAGACTGTTTCCTGCTCCAAGTATCTAACTAGAAACGCTGATATTTATGTAATTACTTGGAAATGAAAGGTTTTCATTAGAAATGTAATACATTAATTATTAATAAAAAATCATATGCCATTGCATCGTTGGAAGAAAATGCATTAACTCTTGTCCATAATTCAAAGCTCATCAGTAGTTTAATGGATAAAACTGTTGAACACTATCAATTCGAATATTGGACAATCCTTGCTCTACTGTTTTCTTCTTGGTTTTTCTTATTTGTTACGTTAATGCAAGCCGAGTTAATTACTAAATCCTCTATGAAAGCATCCCTTCCTTTAAACGTGCCAATATGACCAAAAGTATCCGGACAACCCCTTACAGTAGTAGATGGCAGACGATCTGATGATGGTATCTGATAGATGACGTAATTCGATGCCTAAACGAAAGCTTTAAAAGTGTTGCTAGTGGTTTGTAAGTCATATTTATGCGTTTATGCGACGATGAGTAAGTCAAAGGAGCTTGGTGACTTTGATCATGACTGTATAGTGAGATGCCACGTTTGTAAGAAATCGTTCGTGAAATTTCTAACATTCTCCAGAAGCCAAAAACCATTCTTAGTTATGTAATTGTGAAGTGGGAACGTCGAGGCTGTGTAACTGCAGAAAGACGAAGTGACAGGCCGAAAAAAAAATTAGTGAACGCAGCTGTAGAACTATAGAAAGGGTTGCAAAACAAAATCGCAAGTCCTTGTTGGTTGAAATAACTTTTTTTAGGAGTTCCAAAATTCATCAGGTGTTAGTGCTTCCGACAGGACTGTTCGTCGAGAGTTAAAAATCTTGGGATTCCAATGATCGTGTAGCCTCCCCAGAATGCGGTAGCGTCGATTACAATGATGCAAAGCTCACCGTCATTGGTCTGTGGAGAGGTGGACAAATGTTCTGCGAAGCGATGAATCTCACTATGTATAATCTTGGAATCCGATCGTCTGGGTTTGGCGGATTGCCCATCGAGCGCTTTTAAAGTGACTGCATTGTGCTGACTGTAAAGTTTGGTGTTGGCAGAATAATGACGTGCGGTTGTTTTTCATGGTCTGGCCTGAGTCCCTTATATCCCGTGGTTGGAAATATGAACTCTGACATGTATGTGGATATTCTGGACAAAGCTGCTGATCCTAGGGCAGTATTTCGGGAAAGCCAGCAAGATAACTACTCCATTCACACATCGAGACTTGCGCAGCCATAGTTTACGAAATGGGTGTTCAAAAACTGGACTGGGTTTTTCAAAGCCCCGATCTAAATCTCATAGATCGGCGGATATAGTTTGGGATATAGAATCCCATAGTTTGGGATATAGAATCCCATAGTTTGGGACGAACTAGAACGCAGATTAAGTAAACAGTCAAATCGCCTATGGCCACCTATCAAAAACTGGTGGAAGGTTTCCCCAGACGTGTCCAGGCTGCCATCGATGCAAAAGGGAATATCGTTTCGCTAACGACATAGCAATTTGCATCCAGGGATCAAATCTTGGAAGACGTGTTGGCTTCATGGACATATTTGTGGTTTTCTATGTATAACATGGATACTAGCCAGCTTTCCTTAGAAAGTTTTCCACGAAGGCATCCTCCTTTAGGCAGATAACCAATACGTGGTTTTCCATTATCATATAAACCAAACGAAACCAATATTTTGATTATTCTAGCAAAGATTTTTAATCTAGCAAAGATTTGCTAGTTATCACAAGTTGAACTTTATAACTAATTTAAATGCAGAAAAAGGTTTAATATATTTTCTGTACAGCTTTGGGAAAATAAGTTATAACTTTAGAATTGATTTTACAGCTCTAAACAGGCTAATTTAGGAATACGATTTTTAGATGTACTACTGAGCTTCCAAATACAGATTCATAGTCGTGTTCGAAATGAGTTAGAGTGCAGATATGTACGGTTCCCAATTTCATGGAACTGTGTTACACTACATAAAATAGTTTTTTATATAATGAGGCTTTGTGGCGCAGTAGCTAGCGTGTCGCGTACCAACACCATAGGTCCGGGGTTTCAATCCCTGAGCTGGGCAAGGCAAGGGGGACTCAGCCCGCTCAACCTTTGAATAAGCGATAAAATGAGTAGAAAGTTCACTTGGGGACTAAACATGGGTTCTGGGACAAACTGGCCACTTCTCTGGGATAGATGTTCATGTACGTCGCAGCTCACGGTCTAGAAAGCGGATATAAGGGCACTGCAGCCCATGGCTCGCTGAGGGCTGGTACGCCATTGAGTTTAGTTTATGAAGCCATCTTATAGCCCTAGAGTTTCTGAAGAATAGACAATTTTCAAAGTATTTCCATAAACTTATAAGTTTTGATTTAGTATGTTAAACACCAAAATTCTTCGGAAAATGAGTCAAAGGTTAAAAAAATGTATAAGTCTGCTTGAGAAAAGTTGGATATTAAACGCGAAATTTTACTAAAATTTTATACATTGAGAAACAATAGACATTACATTTAGTTGAAATTTTACTTAGATCAGAATTTAGAAAGACTTTAGATTACTACTTTATCTGCTATTCAAATACCAAGTGCCTGTATTACCAGGTAGTGGAAGTTCAATTCAATGTGAAACTTTCTGTGCATACTGAGGTGTAATTTACTCAGTCTGCTCCAGTCGTTAGCGAATCGGTGAGTCAAACTAACGATAGTCTATTTTTTATCAAATTTGTTTAATTCCATATTTTTGTAATTTTCCACAAAGCTACAGTTTCCAAAAATTGAAATAAATTTTTCTTTTTTTAGGGGGGGGGGAAGCATAAGTTTTAAAAAATTTAATCTTTTAAGTGGGACTTACTTTCGCAAGGCAGTTCTTTTAATTTTGTTGAATCCAAGTAAAATACA